AANCTGAGANGNAGAAGATCAAGACCAAAGTAGTGAATGGTATTCCAGAATTCACAATCACCATAAAGAAATCATACCTCAAGTTCTTGGTAAGATTAAAACCAAAGACACAACAAAAACATTTTTACATAAAAAAGTTTCTCAGAATTTCGTGATATGTGAATCTCTGATTTTTTTTTGTTTTTTCAGGCAATCCCAAAGGATTTTGGGGACGAGCATATCCCGAATAAGTCTAAGATGTTCAAGATTCATCACCCGAATGGGAACGGTCCATGGAAGGTGCTTTGCTTGGTGAGGGAGACTCGGACAATCTTCTCACGTGGATGGTCGAAAATGGCACGAGAGTTCCCTTTATTGGTTGGTGACAGTGTCACTTTCAAGCTCATCGAACCGACCGAGTTTATCCTTGTTGTCTCCAAGGAGGCCAAAGAAGAGATCATCACTCCACGATTGAATGATGAATGAAATGTGTGTTTAAGTGTAATGCTTTCTTATCTATGCAAGACAATTTGATCACACTAGGTGTCTGTGACAGTCGCAATTCTCTAGCTAATGTATCTGTTTTCTGTGTTTGTATATTTCCCTTAAGACTTTAGCTTGCATTTCCTGTAGAACTACAATCATTATGCAAATCCATGTTTCAGTAGTATCAATATTCTGCTTACAACGTGACAAGTGAACTCATAATTGACTTGAACAAAGTGTGTTTTAACTTGCAACTAGTGTGGTCACTGGTAAAGTTTGACTCTTGTTCACTTATAATATAGATTTTGAGGGAAACTTTTGTTATATATTGCATTGAATTATAGTGATAAATACACATTGTCATTGACATGATTGAAAAAGAGCAATTATTAAGTTGGTCCAAAACTCATAAGAGTCTGATTTTTTATTAGAAGAGCTGAAGTATTTTTACCCATTAACAGATAAAGGATGCACTCATACACAACACACAAGTCACACAACAGTTAAAATTACAAATACAGACAACAAGCACCAATCTTAGAATATACACTGGTTCTCCGAGCAATGAAAGTGAAGATGAAGACAAAGCTCAGGTGTGAGCCTTCACGACGGTGACAGGGCATGCCACGTTGTTCACAACATGGTTGCTTACACTTCCCATTATCATCCTGCAAAAAAAAGAAGGTTTTCCAATGTGTAATCCACTTCAAACCAAGTTTGAGATGTTGAAACAGAGGAGAAAACCTTACCTCTTAAGGCCACCAAGACCGCGGTTACCGATAACAAGGCTTGAGAGAGGAATATGTTCAACTGCTTCACATATCTTCTCACGAGGATCTCCCCAATATATCTTCATCACTACTGTAACCTGGCTCATGTTTCACAAATAATTGATAATCATTTAACACAACCAAACACTTATTGTAAAGTTCATTCCTATGTATTGTAATGTTTTATCTTGCTCACACAACTCACAAGGCAACACAATATACATATTATGTTGGTACAGTTCCAGGCGATTCGATAGTATAGTACCACCGCGCCACAATCCATATTGTATAAAAGAGGGTATAAATTTCCTCAAGCACCAGAGAGACATACTAATGTTTCTGCCAAGTCATCGATTCATGAACTATCCACAGTTGGAAGAATCAGAAACTTAACTTTGTAGTTTTGTGAATCATTAGACAGGTAATTTACAGTTTCTTGAAAGTTTTAATGGTTTAAATAGATTGCAGACAGGGTTTATGGACTATTCTTGCAGCTACACATATATAGTATTTACTTTGAAGAAAGATCCATCCAAAAAGGGAAAGAAACAAAAAGCTTACTGCTTTCTTCCTAGCGGCAGTGTTGGCAATGTCAAGGGTTTCAGCATCTGGCTTCACTCCATACTTCTTCATCACAGCAGCATCAGAGACTTCACTCAGAGGAATCAAGGCTGAGAAAATTACAACACAAAAAGCAAAAAAACCATAGTCAAACAACACACAAGATCAATACTTGACTTGTAAACAGTTAAGATCATGATGTTCCAAAGAAGTGAAGTGAGGAATTCATATAATTACAGAATTACAGAAGATCGACAAATAAAATTACAGAATTAGAAACCCTAAATGACATAGATCGAGATATCTACCAAACAAGACACGAAAGAAAAAACAGCAAAAAAGGAGAAATAGAGAAAGAGATTAATAATCGTACGTGATCCAACGGTTTCCCAGAGCTGCATCTCGCCTTCCTCGTAATGCATTTCATGACAGACAGTGATGAGGATTAGATGATCTCCGTCGCGAACAACGTTGTCGAACGCCCAGCTCAGAGCTTTCTTGCTGCAATCCGAGAAATCCACCGCCACTCCAATTCTCCGACCACCACTCTCCGCCATACTTCCTTCTCTCTATGACAAAACCTTTTTCTACCAAGGCTGAT